AAATCTGACAGTTTAAGAGAGATAGGGTTTGACTCACAGTTTCAGAGTATAGTCCATCACGGTGGGGATGTCAAGGAGGCAGGAACTTGGAGAATTTGAAGGGCACAATACATCCACAGTCAAGCAAAGAGCAATGAGTTAATGCATGCTCGATAGCATTTAGCTTGCTTCTTCACTGTCGCACAATGCACTAGCCCTTACTAAGGAATAGTGCCACCCACAGTGGAGACGGTCTCCCAACCTCAATTAAGGCAGTGAATAAAAGACTCCATGGACCCTCACAGGCCAACCCAATCTAAACAATTGCTGATTGAGGTCCCCTCCTCCATGAAACTTGACAATTAAAATTAATCATCACAATAGGTTCTGTGCTTCTTGAAGGGAGAGATCAAAGTTTATGTTTATGCTCAGTTCTTTATGTCACTAACGTAATTAAATGTACATAATTTTAAGTGGACACAAAGCACAAAAGGAAGAAGAGTTACTAGTGTGTGTGTGTTTGATGGGTGTGTATGCATTCGTGTGTGTACAAACTTGCATAAGTGTGCAGCATACGTAAGTGCACACTGAGTGTGGAAAGCTGAAGCTGACATTGGGCATCTTCGGTGGATCTCGGCCTTATGTTTTGGCGGAGGGGTCTCACTGAAGCAGGAGCTCACCACTTCAGTTACACTGTCTGACCCCCTAGCCCCAGGGCCCCTCCTATCACCTCCTTCCCTGCACAGAGACTCTAAGTGTGCACTTCCTCACTAGCTTTTTCACTCGATCAAAGAGGTTCTAACTCTGAAGCGCTAATCTAATTAATCTTAATCGATAAAAACCTGGGAGTCAGATATGGGGTAAAAACCTGGAAGATCACAGAACCAAGAGTTGCCAGCTACTTAACCTTGTATTGAGTCAGAGTTTGGCTGTGAATAACACTAAAGATGGATGAAGATAAAGAGGTTCTGGATCTGTAACATTCCAACTCTATGTAATCATAAAGTTCGAATCAGGCAATCAGCCTTGCAGAACCCTTAACATGGGCATGGCTTATCACACTTGCCATTTAATCCATGTTTCTTGTATGGTATAACAGGAATTCTATAGATATAGGGGAATATGGCTCACTTGTCACATGTATCACAATTCCAAAAACTGTTGCGATCACAGGCTCCATCTAGGTCTCTGCTCAGCTCTCCCTGTGTTGTAGACGTCAGCCTGGTTGTCTAACAGTTGCTGGAGTGCCTCCTGTCTCAACTATGCTGCAGACATGATAAGGCGAAGAATTCTTTTCCTCCCTAAGTAAATGTGTCCTGAGTCTCACAGAGCACACTGTTCTGTGCAATATGGGTAAAAGCCTCCTCATATAGTCACATTTAACTAGAAGGGAGGACCGAGGGCACAGATTTCTATCTGGGCGACAGCATGTCTAACTGTCCCCAAAAGGAAAGAAAGATGGCTCTTGGGAGGCCACTAGAAACCTCTGTCACATTTTCTAAGCCACACAAGGAATGAAGTTAGATGGCTGTGATGTGAATGCAATCAGGTATTTCTAATTCTGCATCTGCAGGTTGAAGGGCTTTCAGCCCTTACAGACTATTCCTTAGCAGTGCTAAGAGTAGGTGACTGCACCTCTCCTGCAATCAGGAACACTGCTATCTACAATCCGCCATGTCTCAACATGGAGATAAGAGGAGAAAACAATGTGACCCCTCTCACCAAACTCCCAGAGCTTATAGGATCTGTATGAAGACCAGCATAGCCGATGAAACCATACGCAGAAAAAGGGAGATTATATAGTCAACCTCTCGTGCATATAAACGCTAAAATTCTCAAGAATAAACTATGCTCACCGAGGAAAGGCGAAAAAGATATCTAACCATCTTTTACTATCATGTGTGCTGTGTGTATGTGTATTTGTGTGTGTACACATATGCATGTTTGCGTATGTACACATATGTGCAGAGATCAGAGGTCAACGGTAGGTGTCATCCTCAGTTGATCTCCACTTTGTTTTTTGAGGCAGGATCTCTCACTGAAACTGGAGCTCACCGTTACTGGACTGGTTGGCCAGTGAGCTCTAGAGGGTCACACCACTAATGTTACAAGCATGGTCTACTACATGAGGCTTTTAGGGGGGAGCTGGGGTTCTGAACTCAGGCCCTCATGTGTGTGTACAGTGGTCATTTTGACAACTGAGCTATTTCCTTCATCCAAGATACATGTTCTGAGAAATGCACATGACAAAATGAATGCAGACTTACCCTTTAGAAAAATTACAGCTTTGGAATTTAGGTGGTGATGTGACTATCTATGCTTATGGACAGTCACAAATGTCCCACTGTGGGACAGGAAGTTGATGGTGGGAGGCTGTGGGCGTGTGTGTAAATTCCCTGTAAACCTAAGATTACTGTTCATGTCAAAGTTATTAAAAATTTTTAAATAGTTAAGGTAATACTTGTGTTATTTTCTAATCACAATAAAGTAATACTTAACAGAGTAAGACAATTGAGAACATCCTTAACCAGTTAAAGTATATTTTGAAATATATAAAAAACATCATATGGAATAACAGTATCTTCCTTGAAGTAAGACATAGATCAATGGCTGGAGAGATGACTCAGTCATTAAGCTTCTAGAGGTCCTGAGTTCAATTTCCAGAAACCACATGGTGGCTCACCACTGTCTATAGTGGAATCTGATACCCTTTTCTGGTGTGCATGCAAACAGAGTATATATATATATATATATATATATATATATATATATATAAATAAATCTTTGAAGCTGGAGAGATGGCTCAGCAGTTAAGAGCACTCTCTGCTCTTCCAATAGACCTGGGTTAAATTCCCAGTCCCACAAGGCAACTCAAGACTATCTGTGACTCCAGTTCCAGGGTACCTGACATCCTCATACATACATACATGCAGGCAAAACACCAATGCACATAAAATAATGATAATAAAGAAATACATCGGGCTGGAGAGATGGCTCAGAGGTTAAGAGCACTGGCTGCTCTTACAGAGGTCCTGAGTTCAATTCCCAGCAACCACATGATGGCTCACAACCATCGGCAATGAGATCTGGTGCCCTCTTCTGGCCTGCAGACATACATGAAGTACATAATAAATAAAGTCTTAAAAAAAAAAACCTAACATATTCTTCAGGAACCTGCCAGCTACTTAAGTCTATTCATTTACCAAAAAAAAAAAAAAAAAAAAAAAAAAAAAAAGCTGGGCATTGGTGGCACACGCCTTTAATCCCAGCACTTGGGAGGCAGAGGCAGGTGGATCTCCGTGAGTTCAAGGCCAGCCTAGTCAACAGAGTGAGTTCTAGGACAGCCTCCAAAGCTACAGAAAAACCCTGTCTCGAACCCCCCCTTCCCCCAAGCCCCACCCCCACTCCCAGAGAAAGAAAAGAAAACAAAGTATGGACAGATGATATTAACTATAAAGTAAAAAGCAGACTTAGGAAAAAGTCTAACAGAATCTGTAGGAGATTTCTACACTGCAAACTTCAAATGATGTTGGTATTAGGAAAGGCCTAAGTGAGTGGAAAGATACAGCATTCATGGATTAGAACACTGGTGGTTGTGAAATCCTCAACCCTCCCTACTGAGCAACCCAGAGACTAACTCACCCAGAAAGCTAGCTCTTACCCCCCATTTCCTTCCTTCATCCCTCAGCCCAATTCTCTTGTCTCTTGTTGGGCAAGCAATTGTCAAATCGGTAGGAAGCACAGAAGCCAAGAATAGACAGTCTGGGAAAGGAAGTCAAAGCTGGGGACAGCTGCCTTGGATACCCGGCCTACTGCTAAACTGTGGGGCAGCACCAATGGGGGTAAGCATTGGCCAAATGACCATGAACCAGAATGTAGACTGGCAGCAAATCCACACCATCCTTTGTCCTGGACTTTGGACAAAGGTGACACAATGTGCATGGGAAAGATGAGCTGTCAACAATGTTGGCTCAGCTCTTGTCCTCCCTCTCACACCATGAACAAAAGTCCTTCCTGGAGGACCGTGGAAGATAAAAGCAAGAAAGCCACCAGAGAAAGTGGAAAAGACTGCATTTTTTTTTAATGATGGGAGTGAATCAAGGGCCTTCGGATGGTAGACAAGCATTCTTCAACAGAACCCCAGGCGATTTTAGAATTTTAAATCAGACTCTGTCACTCTAGTGCTTTAAACAGCCTATCCCAGCCAAGTCTTTTAATTGGTTATTTAATACAAAGTAGTCAGTCCTGGACCATATACATGCAAGCCTCACTAAACGGATCCATTGGGTTGTATTGGTAGATTCATGCCTTTATATATTACATATGACATTAATAATAAACATGAGGCCACCAGTTAGAGACAGAAGGGCATGGGAGGAGTTGGAAGAAGGAGGAAGAATGGAGGAAGTGATATAATTATATATATATATATATTTTTTGGTTTTTTGAGACAGGGTTTCTCTGTGGCTTTTGGAGTCTGTCCTGGAACTCGCTCTGTAGACCAGGCTGGCCTCGAACTCACAGACTCACAGAGATCTGCCTGCCTCTGTCTCCCGAGTGCTAGGATTAAAGGTGTGTGCCACCAATGCCCGGCATAATTATATTTTTATTTCAAAAGGTTACTAATAAAGTTAAGAGCATATTTAAAAAACATTCCAGTGGCATAAGTAGCAATGCCCAGCCTATACTGTGCATTGGTTTGTGGGGACAGGGAGTAGCAGGTGAGGGCATGACGTCAGGGCAAGTTCCTCACTCGGATGAGGGAATACTTGAGTTCCACAGAGAAGGCAAGTCAGAAGCCTAGGGAACTGTGAGGAATGTCGGGCGCAAAGGGGACTTCTGTGTTATGGGAACCAAGCACAGAGCAGAGCCTGTAAATGAAGACCACATTCACCCTCCTTTCGGATGCTTCGTCAATACACCAGGACCCGGAGCTGGTGAGACACACCATGTGCTGTACGCAACCAGTGCTCCCCACACGAGGCTCACACAGCTGTAAAAACTGCAGTGTCTTCTTCCAGGTCTCCCAGGCTCTGTTGCCCCGCCGCTCTCTGCACCCTTTTGCAATGTTGACAGCACCCAACGCAGCAGAGTGCAACCACAGACAGAGTAAGTCTGCTTCCTTCTGGCTGCAGAGAAAGCTAACCAGGAGATGAGCCCCCCAAGTGAGGTTAAATGGTTACACTGACTAGATTTCTGTCTGGTGAGATAAAAAAAAAAAACCAGGATCCTTCACAACTTGATGCTCCCCTCCCCTATTTTACCCTAACCAGAAAGGTTTATTTCTTAGATCCTTTGGTGAGGGGGGGCAATGTGGTCCTGAAAGGCAAGATCTAACTAACATGGCAGCGAGCACATTTTTCTAAAGTTTTATACTCTGATGTGGTTACTCTCCATGACTGCAGGTGTCAAGTTGAGGAGAGGAGCAATGACTAAACAAGCCTCCAGCAGCTCTACAAAGAAAGCAATGGTTCAGAATGGCAATCTGGCAAAAGGTGCTCACACACACAGCTCAAGAACAAAGTAAGTCTAAACATGGATGCTGTGAGATGACTGTGCCTACATTGTGTTGGACATTGAGAATTTGGAGTTGGGGTTCTGGATGTGAATACAGAGCCCATTACTTCTCAGCTGCATGGTTTTGAGTAGGTTATGTAACCATTTCATACCTTAGGTGAGAGAGAGAGAGAGACAGAGACAGAGAGAGACAGAGACACACACAGAGAGAGAGAGAGAGAGAGAGAGAGAGAGAGAGAGAGAGACAGACAGAGAGAGAGAGAGAGAGAGAGAGAGAGAGAGAGAGAGAGAGAGAGAGAGAGAGAGAGAGAGAGAATAATGGTACTTAATCGGGATTATGGATGAGTGGTTAGAATGGTACTTGCTACATGGTGAAGCCTAAATACGTATTAGCCATAATTAGCTTTCAACACTTGAAAATTGCTCTTCAGAAGGGAATGAGCTATTTTTCAGTTTATTCAGATAGGGTGGCTTACTTTAGTGTCTACACCTACAATGTTCCGGATGAGAATTCTATCATAAAGGAGAATTTTGTCTTTTCTTTCGCAGCATCTCCCAAATCCATTTTCCCTATCCATCCAGTCCTCCACTGTTATGTAGAATTTAAAGACTAGTCAGAGGTGGATAGGACTGGGGGAAAGTAGAAAAATTCTGTTGCAGTTGTCATGATAGTTACTACAGCTCTGGATTCTCAACCACAATATACAAGGTGAAAATAAATTAAACAGAAGTCAGAGAGACCAACTTGGTCAGTGCAATTGTCTTAGTTAGGTTTCTTTTCTTTTACTCTTTCACAACTGAGATTTTATTGGTTGAGGAGCAGAGTACACAGACATTTTAATTCCTAACACACTTACTCAAACTCTGAAGAGTCATATTTTATGTTCATGTACCCAAAAGAGCTACATGTTGTTTCTCTTTGAACTTATTCCAGTTATGGTTTTTGTTTTTTTTTTGTTTTGTTTTGTTTTTTTTTTTTTTGGTTTTACGAGACAGGGTTTCTCTGTATTGTTTTGGAGGCTGTCGGTCCAGCCCAGCCTCTAACTCACAGAGATCCGCCTACCTCTGCCTCCCGAGTGCTGGGATTAAAGGCGTGCACCACTACCGCCCGGCCCAGTTATGTTTTTTAAAACTCCCAGCTATTCTGGGAAACTTTGAAGGATTCCTTTTTATTGCACTGTCAGCTTCTTTTAATCAAAATGGATATGAACAGCATTCCCGGGAAAGCTAATCTCTCTGTGCTTTCCTTTCTTTCCTACAAAACAAAGAGTAGTATGTACCTCCCTGGGTTGTTTTAAGAACTAAATGAACTAATGGGTGTATAAAATCTCAAAGAATCACCAAGACCACACCCAGCAGAAAGACGCCCATCCCTCTCTTCCCATTCTCGGAGAACCCACAACACTGTGGAAGGAAGTCAAATGGAGGAGAGCTTAAACTTAAATCCAAAGTGGTAGACAAAACCTAAAGTAATATGCTAGAGCTGGAAAATGGTTTATGCTGGGTAATGCTAGTCCAAAGAAGTTTTTAAATTTAATTTGGAAATAATTCCATACTTAAAGGAATGTTGCCATAGTACAAAGGACATATTTCACCATCCATCGTTCCTGTTTGTTCTACTAGCTTTTTATGTCTTTCTCTTTATCTCTTCTCCCTTCTGTCGTGTGTGTGTGTGTGTGTGTGTGTGTGTGTGTGTGTGTATTGATAACCTTTTCTGAGCTATTAAAACTTGTACATACCCTATCAACTTACACTGTATATTTTACTTTATAGCTCCTAAAAGCAAAGTCATTCTCTTAAGTAATCAATTATTAACCCCAGAATCTAAAACATTCTATTTTATCTAAGCTATCACCCAAATAGCATTTTTTCACTTGCTCAAATAAATGTCCCCTTTAAAGGATCCAACATGAGATCACATACTATAGTCAGTTGGGAAATACACTTCATTTTTAGTTATTTCAGAATTGCTCCATGGAAATTCTTTTACATCTGCATGGATCTAACCATCTCTGTCGGTACCTGATGTTTGACCTTAGTTCTGTATCAATTGAAAGCTAGTGTATGTGTCTGTGTTATACCAATGTGCTTGGTACCAAAACCATCTTTTCCTTCTGCAGGTCGCTTAGAAATGATCACTAGTGTCATGGATGTGTAACAGCCTCTGGGAGCAGACAGGAAGCTTTGCCTTAGAGCTGCACTTGTCACCAGATCACTCTCTCCCTGCAGATAGCTATTGCTGTCAATGACATTGACCATCATGTTTCCCCTTGAGCCTTTTCCTCTTGGAAGCATATTGCACATATATTTTGGCAAAAGGAAAAAATGTCTATATCCTATGCTACTTCATTATACACCTGGAAGACTGCTGGAGCATTCGAAGGGGGTTCACTGTTTCTGGATAGGGTGAGACAGTCTGATTTTGATACATTTTTTAGCAAATGTGTAGCATTAAATATTGTACAGAATCATGGAGAAAGAGGTGGTTTTCCAAAGTTTAAACCCCAAATAAAATTGATTTCTCATTAGCATACTCTGAAATAGAAAAAAATGTAAACTCATTCCATTTCAATAAAGTTTGAAAAGAGAAATGGATGCTGGCTTTCTCTGGGAAAGAAAATGTGCTGCTCTTCTGGGGCCTTTCCAAAATGGCGACAAGGCACATGACTTAACAAGTCTGCAATTACAACTTCATCAGACGAAAAGTCAGTACATTATACCTCTCCTTTCTTAAGGACTAGGCCAGCCATCTTTCTGCAGAATAGTCCTAGTGCCGCATGCAAAGTCAGGTGAGTTTGTTGAAAACAGTGGTGTACTCCCACGTGAGGTTGTGGCTGGGGAGGTCAGTGTGGGCCTTTCTACATGATCACAGTTGTGTTTGAGGCTCACCGGGATGCTAGGAACACAGGTTGGATGCAGAAGAGGACATCAGTGGCCTGTGATCCTTGCCAAGGCTCCAGCTGCCAGGGACTTTGCCCAGTCTGGTTCTGCAAAGCCTTGCTGGCTGTGAGAAGACACTTCTGGGTGTCTGTGCTTTTGCCAACCGTATGCGTCATATGAGTGATGGCTGAGGGTTTTCATGCAGACATTGTGCCTGCATTGCTAACTCTAGTTGGGTGTTTCATGGGAATTAAGCAAAATTATATTTGAATGGTATGGGATAACGGGCTAATCCAAGGTTTGACCATCCTCCATCCCTGCAATTGAAAAGCACTCTAAGTCAGCTGGCAGCAAAGAAGAAAGTTCTGATGGAGGTTATCCTGGCTCAGGGAGACTAACACTTTGCTGAGGGAAAACCAGATAAACCATAGCACTGGTTTTGAGAATAAAAAGTAGTAACCCTAAAAAAAGGGTGGGAGCAGGAAGAATGGAAAAGTCCTATGTCTTTTCCTGTTAGAGTGCCTCAGATTCTTGGAAGAGCTATTAATTTTAGGCCAAAAAATGTTTAATCTCATATATGTATGTATATATGTATATATGTATACATATGTATGTTTTAACCATTAACTCAAAAATCACACATTTAAAAATTGACTTTACTACTCTCATGCACTGAATTTGCAATATATATTTACAGTAGAAAATTAAAGAAATTTTAAATTCAAAAGGAAGGAATAATATGAGGCCAACCTTGATGGCCATGGTTGACATTTTAGTCTCTACACAGTTCTGACCTTTTTATCCTAAACATACGCAAGTTTTAAAAAATCAAATCTGTGTCATACATATAAAGACATGAAACTTTTTCAATTACAGAATTTTTGTTTGTTTTTCTGCTGCCTCTTGGTGCCTCTTGGTGCTTCTGGAACTCATATGATTCTCATGAGCTTCCCACAAATGGAAGCTCCGACCTCCATCTCAGCACTTTGTATAGGCAAACATTGCAAAATGCTGGTTACGTCATGTATTTCTAGAGAGCTGCATAGGATGAGAAGCACGCCCTTTGTCTCCAAGATCATAATGGCTCTGCTGACTTTAATCCCTTTCACTGGAGTTAGTGAGGACAACTCGAAAATGCCAGAGAGAATGAGAGCCCCCTACCCCATGATCCCAAATGAAAAAGCGAGAGAACACAGAAATCCCTTTATGCATTACCCCCCAGGTCCCTTTTGTGTTGTTCTTGCCAACACAGCAGCCATTCTGCTATATATATATCAGCTGCCGCTCCTGTCCCCGTCACACTCAACACCGATCGTTTGCTGTCAACAACGATGGGAAAGGTGAGTCAAGAGAGAACTTCCCATGTTTGCGGAGTGTTTCCTCTGTGTCGGGGATGCGCCTTCCAGTTGGCCATGTTCACCCGTTTTGCCTTTACAGATCACCTTCTACGAGGACAGGGGCTTCCAGGGACGCTGCTATGAGTGCAGTACCGACTGTCCCAACCTGCAGACCTACTTCAGCCGCTGCAACTCCATCAGAGTGGACAGTGGCTGCTGGATGCTGTATGAGCGCCCCAACTACCAGGGATACCAGTACTTCCTGCGGCGTGGGGACTACCCTGACTACCAGCAGTGGATGGGCTTCAGCGACTCCATCCGCTCCTGCCGCTCCATTCCTTATGTGAGTATTGCTTCCCGCCTGGCTGATGTGAGAATATCAGGTGTTCCTGTTTGTCAGTTTGTTTCCACTCGCGTTCTAGTTGTTCTCAGCAAGGATAGGAACGCTCAACAAGAGCTCACACTAAGTATATCAAGGCCTGACTCTCAAACCTAAATAGAAGGAATACATACATACATACATGAACAGCAATGCATTATCTCTTACTTAAGGACATCAATGTTGCTTTGGGACATAAAAAACCATAACATAAACATTCAAGTTAAATTTGACTCAATAATCACATACCCTTCAACCATAACAGAAGGAAATCCTGTCATTTGCAATGACATGGATGAACCTAATGGGCACTGTCCTAGCAGAAATGAGACAGGCATGTACCGACAAAGGCCACCTGTTCTGGAAAGCAGCAGGTTTATGCAGGGGGAGATCAGGGTTGGAGATTTAGCTCAGTGGGAGTGTACTTGCCTAGCAAGCATGCAGCCCTGAGTTCTGTCCTTAGCAGCAGTTCTGTCCTTAATAGAGAACAGAACAATGCCAACTAGAGGCTAGAGTGGCAGAGCAAGGGTCCAGAGGTCTTGGAGGGATGATCAGAAATTGAAAAATTACAGCTAGAGAGAAGAGCTATGTTCGAGAGGTCTACTTGTATAGCACATTGATAATAGTTCATGTTATATATTAGAGTCATTTAAAAATGATAAAGCTGAGACTGGAAAGATAGCTCAGTGGTTAAGAGCCCTGGCTACCCTTCTAGAGGACATGGGTTCAATCCCCAGCACCCACAAGTGGCTCACAACTGTCTGCAATTGCAGTGCCAGGGAATCCCATGCCCTCTTTTGGTCTCTGTGAGCACCAAGCACAGCTCATGTAGTATACTTACAGACACATAGGCAAACACTCATACACATAAAATAAAAGTAAATACATCTTAAACATACAATAAACTGCTGAAAGAATGGATTCTATCTGTTCTCACCACAATATCATAATTATGGGGATGAATACATATTAACTAGGTAGATTTAACCATGGTGCTTACTTTCAAACACCATGCTATGCCTAATAAATACACACATACTATTTGTTAATTTTGAAATATATAAATACATTAGGAACTCAGTTAATTAAATTTAGTTAGTTCCAGTGTATTCTTACTGAGTTTTCGTTACTATACACACTCACACTCACCTAGAACAGTGGATCTCAACTTGTGTGGCTTTGTGTTCTTCAGGAGTCATTAACTACTAGTTTCTTACGAGACAGGTAATTAGGATTCCATGAGATACAGTCCACATCCCCTGTGGGATTTTTTCCCCTAAAGAAAGAAAAGAAAGGAAAGGTATGTGAACTCAAAGCCCATCAGAATCGCTGAACATCATGCATAGAATGTTCGGCTTCAAAGTGAGCTTGGTAGGATTCGGTTCCATGGGCAGGAAATGCTTTCACTCTCTGCCTTTTGGAGTTCGCTTCCTCCACAAGCACTCCAGTTCCCTGGTCAAGGTAGCTTTATATTGGTGCATTTCCTAATTTGCTAAAACGGCAGCCCAAGGAGTAGGACTCGGGGAGAAACATACTTGACAGATGTGCCCGAAACCCATGTTTTGTGAAGGTGCAAGAAGGCTTCGATAGCAAGCATATAAATCATTGCTGTTCCTCATTTGCTTGTCATCACAACAGACCAGCTCTCACAGAATAAGGCTGTATGAGAGAGATGATTACCGGGGTCTTCTGTCTGAGCTTACAGAAGACTGCTCCTGCATCCATGATCGCTTCCGCCTCAATGAGATCTACTCTATGCACGTGCTGGAGGGCTGCTGGGTCCTCTATGAGATGCCCAACTACCGAGGCCGGCAGTACCTGCTCAGGCCTGGAGACTACAGGCGCTACCATGACTGGGGTGCCATGGATGCCAAAGTTGGTTCTCTGAGAAGGGTCATGGATTTATACTAAGTCTCATTTTACTTGTTATAATCCACACAAATGCAATAAATATGTAACTTGTGTTCCTGGCATTAAGTGGCTCTTGTTTTATCTTTAATATCTAAATTCTATGAAATGCTATCTTAGGGAACTTTCCCAACTCTGAAAATGTCTGGAATGCTCACCTACTTTCTCGAGTCAGGAAAGACTGCTTATTGGAAGGTTCAAACCCTGGCGACCTCTGAGTCTGCAGGAAAGAGGAAAGATGAACATAAGCAACCATTAGAACCTAGGGAAAGGAGAAAGCGTAGAGCCTGCCTGTGGCTACACCACCAAAGACAAGGGGTTGCTAAGGGATGGGACACCTGGTATCTCACAAGGAAGTATGCAAGAAAAGGTGCTCCAGGGGCTGGGAAGATGCTCAGTGAGCAAAGATGCTGCACGAGCTTGAGGACCAGAGTTCTGACACCAAAAACATCCAAATCCAGAAGCAGTGGTGCACATCTGTAATCCAGATGTGCCTGCATTAGGATGGGAGACAGGCAGGAGAATCCCCAGGAGTTTGGGGGCCAGATAGCTTTGCTTGAGCAGCAGTAAACAAAAGACTTTTCAAACAATGGGGAAGGCAAATGCCTGCAGCCAAAGTTGTCTTCTGACTTATACATACACCTACAGTCACAGACATGCAAGCATGCACATGCCTGTAGATGCACATGCCTAGATGCACACACCTCAGATACACATAGGCACATACTTTTAAAAGTAAAGAAGAGATGTATGGAGAAAGGGATTTGAGTAGAGTTTCTAAAGGAAACTTTAGTGAACCTTAGTAGGAAAAGTGATGAGTTAAACAGACAGATTGGTTGTCCTGCCTCTGTTACTTAGTACAGTAACCAGCTTAGTCCAGTTCTCTTAAGACATCCACAGTTACAGTACTAACAGTTTTCCAAGCAGGGAAACCAAGACAGTTGCTTTACTTTCTACCTTATTTCTCTGAAGAAGTCACTTTTTAGCTTCTCTGCATCTAAATTACTTGATTGAAAACTACAAGTAATCAAAGGGGAGCTCATGAACTCCAGATTGATAGCTGGGAAACCAGCATAGGACCAACCCAGACCCCCTGAATGATGTCAGGTAGGAGGCCTTGGCATCTATGGGGCCTCTGGCAGTGGATCAGTATTTATCTCTAGTATACGAATGGACTTTGGGAGCCCACTCCACATAGAAGAATACTGTCTCAGCCTAGACACATGGCGGAGGGCCTAGGCCCTGCTCCAAAAGATCTGACAGACTTTGAAGATCCCCCATGGAAGACCTCACCCTCCCTGGGGAGCAGAGAGGGGGTGGGATAGGGGGCCAGTAGGGGACAGGGGAGGAGGGGAGAGGGAACTGGGATGGACATGTAAAGCAAGCTTGTTTCTAATTAAATAAAAAAAAAATCTGAGAGAGAGAGAAAAAACAAGTAATAACAAATTCATGCCTAAGTCCCAGAGACGTTATGATGAAAAGATGAGAAAAATATGCATAATTTTGTTATCTTCAAGTTACCATAGACGCATAAAGGAAGAAAATGCATATACTTTAAGCTCCCCCCACCACACACACACACACACACACACACACACACACACACACACAAAACAAGATGATGTTCATTTGGACTCTGGTATGAATTGTTCTCAAGGCTCAATTGCATAGAGTAAGATACTAATTAGCATTTTCTACTGAACATGTCTCGTTGCAAGAGACCAGCTCTCTGAGAGTGTGATGTTTTCCTCACATTTACAGAAGCAGGAAATGATACTCTTGTGCCCACCGACTCCTTTGTAGAAATTGACAAGTTAATTCCAAAGTCCACACAGAATTTCCAGGGAAAAGCCAAAGCAATCCTGAGAAAAGACAAAAAGAGGAATATTTGTATTTCACTGCAAAATAACTTAATAGTCCATAAACACCTTGTCTATGTTCTTTTTTTTTTTCTTTTTTTTTCTTTTTTTTTTTTTTTGGTTTTTCAAGACAGGGTTTCTCTGTGGCTTTGGAGGCTGTCCTGGAACTCGCTTGGTAGTCCAGGCTGGTCTCGAACTCACAGAGATCCGCCTGCCTCTGCCTCCCGAGTGCTGGGATTAAAGGCGTGTGCCACCAACGCCCGGCACCTTGTCTATGTTCTATGTATTGGCAGAGATGAGAAGAGTATTTATGGAGAAATAGTAGTCTTTTTAGCAAATGGTCCTTAGACACAGATACAGACACAGACACACAGACACACACACACACACACACACACACACACACACACACACACGGCTGGACCCTCTTTTATATCATATATAAAAGTTCACTCAAAATGGTATAAAGACCTGCAGTTAAGAAGTAGATTTATAAAACTTTTCAGACAAATCATATTCATAAGTATTTATGACCTTTTTGGCTTTTTGAGACAGGGTTTCTCTGTGGCTTTAGAGGCTGTCCTGGAACTAGGTCTTGTAGACCAGGCTGGTCTAGAACTCACAGAGATCCACCTGTTTCTGCTTCCCGAGTGCTGGGATTAAAGGCATGGGCCACCACCGCCCGGCACAGTGTTTTTTTTAACACAGCATTAAAGCCACATGGACTACGGGCTGATGAGATGGCTCAGCAGGTAAAGGCACCTACTGCTAAGCCTAAGGGCCTGAGTTCAACCCCTGGAACCCACCTGGTAGAATGAGAGGGCCTAAATTCAATTTTAAAGATTTAGGAAAATGAAACTAAAGAAAGATTAATAAATTGAACTTTAATCTGTGCTGTGGTGGTGCTGGGCTTTAATCCCAGCACTCAGGAGGCAGAGGTAAGCAGAGCTCTGTGAGTTCCAGGCCAGCCTGGTCTACAGAGAAAGTTCCAGAACAGCTAGGGCTACACAGAGAAACCCTGTCTCAAAAACAAAAACACAACAAAACAAAAGGTTGAACTTTACAAAATTAAATATTTAATGCATTAAAAGCTTAACAAACAAAATAAAATAACAGCTCACAGAAGTGAAAAAATGTTTTAAAACTGTTGATCTGTTAAGGTCTTAGAATCTAGAATCTAAAGAACTTTTCAACTAAACAATAGCAACAAAAAATGATCCCATTAAAAAGGGGCAAGGGTTGAAATACATCCCCCCCCCAGGAAGACATATAAATAGCAAACAAATGGGGGAAGAAATCTCATCACCATTAGATATTATAGAAATTAAACCCAATGCAGGATACCACTTAATATCTATTCTGATGGATACAATAACATTTTTGAATCAAATTAAAATTTAATTTTAATTAAATCCTACCAAACAGAAAAATGACCTGTGTTGATGAGGATGAAAAGTTGGAACTCTCTTACATTTTTGATGGGAATATAAAATGATGCCCCCTTCTGAAGAAAATAACTTGCCAGTTCCTCAAAAGCAGCTGGAGTCATATTTATGACCTTGCAATTCCTCATGGTAAACAATCAAAGGATCTGAAAATAAATGTTCAAACAGAAACTTATCCATGAATTTTCATAGCAATACTTTTAATGGTGGCCAAAAGTGGATACAGCCCAGTGTCCAGATGTCAATGGATTACTGGATAAACAAAGTGTACTCTATTACTACAATGGGATTGACATCTGTCCTTAAAAAGGTATGAATGACAGTGTGTAAAGTTAAACAAGCCAGTCACATAGGGTACACACTACACAGACCACACGCTAGTGCATCCAGTTATATGAAATACCCAGGACAGACAAAGCTAGAGTGACAGCAAGCCCATCTGTGGCTGCTTAGGATTCAGGGGATGGTTAAATAAGGGTGTGATGCTGGAATATAACTTCTCATTGCGATGAGGAGCATATGTGAAAATACACCGTAAACACTGAGCTGTGAATGTGAAATGGCATGGTCAAAGCTGTCTTACGAAACACTCACCGTCTGACCACAAAGTTTCTATATTAAGAATATTCTTTGCTACTGAAAGAACACATGGGGCAAATTAGAAACAGGAAAGGCAAACGTCAAAAAACTGCGACTGTTACCAAGGTAGAATGTGCAGAAAGTCCGTGGTTTGCTGGTAGCTCAGCTAATTCACTGGGTTGTCCCACTGTGTTAGGTGACTAATGACATACACTTTGTTGACTTTGTGTTTATTCTTTAACAAAAAAGGGAAAGGTCTGTGTCATGTCTCACAGAAAACAGTTTTGATGACCTGAAATCTCATTTTATCCTAGATGAACAATACAGAAAATTTCATTTAGTTGATAAAGCAACACAGTTTTCCTTTTCCAAATTAAGGATTGTGGGCAAGGTGAGTCCCATGTTTCCCTCAGGCTCAGACATGTGTTTCTTTTTTTGTTTGTTTGTTTTTTGAGGCAGGGTGTCTCTGTATTGCTTTGGAGGTTGTCCTGGAACTTGATCTGTAGACCAGGCTGGCCTCGAACTCACAGAGATCCACCAGCCTCTGCCTCTGCCTCTGCCTCCCAAGTGCTGGGATTAAAGGTGTGCGCCACCAACACCGGGCTCTCTGTTGGGCTTCTAAGTGAGGTATGTCTGTGGTTCCATGCAGCGTCCAGAGCGCATGAACTCGGTTTCTGGCTGTGTGAGCTTGTCTGTATTTTCCCTAGCTTCAGTTCTGTAGTTTCATGCTTTCATGAGGAATGACTGGAACTCTGCCTGTCGGCGCTAGCAGATAGCAGAGGCTCAACAAGTAGAGGTCATCACTCCTTTGATGTGTTATCATTTTGCTCCTACAGTCATGTGCTGTCCCCAAGGATGCTACAGGAGAAAAAGAACAGAGAGGATGAGCTATTTTCCAGAAAGTTTCTCTGATGCAAGTAAATGTGATTAGCCTCTTTTATTTTTCCCAATTTGCCTCAAAAATCACAATCCTCCTGCCTCAACCTCTCAGGTAACTTGAACTACAGTCATGTCCTACCTTACCTGCATTTCTATGCTGTTTTAAGCATCACCTATTACTGATACATGTGTTCATACACAGATTATTGAACCAATACTTAGAGAGCCTCTTATGGTTAGTTAGATGCTGAGATATTATACAAAAAAAGATGAAGAAATAAGT